TTGTCCAGGCTCATAGACCTAGCGCGTGATGGGCTGTAGAGGTGAATTCTGCGGGGCAGTGGCCTCAGGCTGTGACAGGCAGCAGGGGAGGTGAGGATGCTTTGACTCCTTTTCTCTTTTCTCCTGGCACCACCTGCATTTTCCCCTCAATTTCTGACCATCCGCCGCATCCAGTTTTCTTAATTAGAAAAAAAACTTTATTTTTTGTTTGTTCACGAGGATTTTTTTCTTTTCTAAATAATCCATTTTTATTTTGTCCTCCTTAACTTCTTCCTCTTAATTTCCTCAAGTTTATTTTTCAGAAGTCAGTGTTCTCAGTGTAATTTTCTAAATGATCTAGCATTTCAGTCTCGACTTTCTCTTTGACCCCAGAGTTAGAGGGTTCTAACCTTTGCAGGTAGTTAACCTTTTGTCATTAATTACAGGTGTTCTCTCTCTCTCTCTCTTTTTTTTTTTTTTTGCTGGTGGAGTGAGGTGTGGGTGGGCAGGCTATTTGTGTTTGGGAATGTTTAGGAAACACTTGTTTATTTGACCTGAATTGACTGTCACCACCTGTGTGAGAGCATTATGTTGAACTCCATGGGAAACACAGAGGTAGGTCAGAAACAGTTGTAGAGAATTGAGTCCCAGTTACCTGCTTTACTGTCTAGTGCTTTTAGTTTTCTTTTCTTTGTTTTTTAATTGAGATATAATTGACATGGAACATTGCATTACTTTTAGATGTAAACATGATGATTTGATTCATGTATATCTTGCAAAATGATCACCACGATAAGTTTAGTTAACACCCATCACATAGTTACACATTTTTTTCCTTGTGATGAGAACTTTTAAGATCTACTCTTCGCAGTGCTCAAATATATAATTACTAGAATATTAATTACTAGTAATAACTAGTTTTAACTGCATTGCAGCTAGATATTGTGGTCTGCACAATTTCTACTTTTGAACTGTATGGTGCTTTTAAAAATAATTTATCTTCAGGATGCCTGGGTGGCTCAGTCGGTTAAGCGTCTGCCTTCGGCTCGAGTAGAGCCGAGCCGAAGGCAGACGCTTAACCGACTGAGCCACCCAGGCGCCCCAATAAATAAAATCTTTTAAAAAAATAAATAAATAATTTATCTTCTCCATAAAAGTCAATCGAGAGTTCTTAAAACTATAAAACTCTAGAGAAAAAAATAGGGGAAAATCTTCCTGATGTGGGATTTGCCAATGATTTCTTGGACATGACACCAAAAACATGGGCAAAAAAAGAAAAAATAAATTGGGCTTTATCAAAATTAAAAACTTTTGGGGCACCTGGGTGGTCCAGTCAGTTAAGTGTCCAATTCTTGGTTTCAGCTCAGGTCATGATCTCAGGGTCGGCGGGGAGTCTGCCTGTCTCCCTCTCTCTCTGCCCCTCCCCCCCTTCTCTCTCAAATAAATAATCTTTTAAAAAAACAAACACTTTTGTACTTCAAAGGGTAATACCAACAGAATGAAAAGGCAACCTATAAAATAGGAGAAAATATTTGTAAATCATATATCTGATAACTGATTCATATCTGGAATACATAATAAACTCTTACAACTCAACAACAAAAACCAAAGGATCCAATTCAAAAATGGGCAAAGAACTTGAATAGACATTTCTCCACAGAAGATATCCAAATGGCCAATAAGCACATGAAAAGATGCTCAGCATCGCTAAGCACTAGCGAAATGCAAATCAAAACTCTAATGAGATAACACTTGGCACCCAATAGGACAGCTATTATAAAAAAATAAAGTAACAAGTGTAGATAAGGATGTACACAAATTGGAATCCTGGTGCTTTGCTGGTGGGGATATAAAAATGGTACAGCTGCTGTGGAAAATTCTCAAAAAATTAAACAAGGAATGGTCCAAATAATTCAGCCATCCTACCTCCGCGTGTATACTCAGAGGAACTGAAAGCAGGAACTTGAATATTTGTACACCCATGTTCATAGCAGTGTTATTCACTATAGCCAAAAGGTAGAAACAACCCCAGGTCCATCAACAGATGAACAGATAAATAAAATGTGGTATGCACATAAAATGGAATACTATTTAGCCTTAAAAAGGAAGGAGATTTTGACACAGGCCACAGAATAGATGAGCCTTGGGAACATCGTGCCAGGTGAGATAGGCCAGTTACAAAAGGAAAAATACTGTATGAGGTACCCTGAGAGGTCAAATTCAGAGACAGAAATTAGGATGGGGGTTGCCTCGGGCTGGGGGGAGGGGGAATGGGGACAGAGTTTCAGTTTGGGAAGATGGAAAGTTCTGGAGATCGATGGTGCTGATGGTTGAACATACTTAATGTCTCTGAACCCTACATTTAAAAATGGCTAAAATGCTAAATTTTACACTATGTATATTTTACCACAATAAAAAAGTAAATACAGAGCCCTAAAATTAAGTTAGTTTCTCTCTACAAGTCTTCCATGTCACTTCTGCCTATGAGATGTGACCAAGAGAGAAGGAGTTAAAGTTTCTAAAATCAATGTGATATTTGCATTCTTCTTGTTCCTTGGACAGTTTTTACTTTAAATAAGTTGACATCATACTATTCAAGACCTAAGGGTTTGTGGCTGTTATTTCTTCCTTTTTTTTTTTAAATAAATGCCAAATAAACCTTTGTTTCATTTACACTTTTCCCCTTGAATTCTACTTGGCATGACACATTTATCCCTCTGCTTTCTTTCTTGGCTTGTCTTTCATTTACTCCTTCACTGCCTCAACTGTGTGCCAGGAGCCCTTGTAGGTGTTGGGGACCTAGCAGGGAACAAAATAGACCAAATCTTTACCCTTCTGAACTTACGTTCTTGTGCAGGGAGGAAGGAAGTAAAAAAAGATCAGTATGAAAATATAGTACAGTGTTTTTGATCTTTTCTATTTAAAGTGTCCTCCACAGATTCCCGGGCAGAAGGGCAGCCGCACCACGATGTGGGAACCTGTTAGAAACGCGGGGACCCATCCTGAGCCAGCTGAGTGAACACCTGTGGCAGGATGCCCAGATGACTCACAGGCGGCTTCAGGTTTGAGAAGCACTGCCTAGCCCCTGCTGAGTGCTAGGGTTTTAGGAAAATTAGGCAGGGAAGGGGTTCATGTGGGGAACAGAGGGGCAAAAGAGAAATTAAATTTCCTTACTACCTACAGCCCATTGACAAGTCCTTGACACAGGCAGAGTGACATTTCTCTAGGGACTCAACTGCCTCAACGTTAATACTTTGCTAAGGGCAAAAGGCAATCTTAGCTTAACATTACCCCGACACCCCCAGGATCCTGTAAGTCTTCTTTAACATATAAAAGTTCCTTTGGAAACTTCCTTTATCTCTAACCGCCCCCCCCGCCCCAAGATACGTGTTGGCAATCATCTTCCAAGCAAATGGCCCACTGATACACATATGAAGGGTGTCATGACTCAGGTTTTATTAGACAGCAATAAATGACCTTTTCCCAACACTAGCTAGCCCCCTCAAGGCCCTGGAACCCTTGCTTCCAAAAGTCCTTAGAGACTTACCCTATCCCTAACCCCCTCCCAACTTGAAAGTATGTAACAGGCTACTCTTCCTGACCCCAGTGCTTTCTGCCCACAGGTCCTGTCCCCGCTGCTTTAATTAAAGCACCTTTTTGCACCAAAGATGTCTCAAGAATTCTTTCTTGGCCATCGGCTCCAAACTCCAACCTTTCCTACATCAGGGGTCAGGGAGGCCTCACTGGGAAGGAGCCCTTGGGGTACCAGCGGTGAGCTCCGCAGATGCCTGGAGGAAGAAGCTGCAGCTAATGGTAAGGCCCCAGGGGAACTGCGAGCTGGCGAAGCAGCATCCGCTTGCACCGGACTCACGCTCAGTAAGTCTTTATTCCAGGCCCTCTGCTTTGGGTGTGTTGGGGCGCTGGTTCCAACGCTGTAATCTGAGCGGGCGCCAATTAGCCAGGCCCCTAGATGCGCCAGGCGCCCTGCCCAGCGCTTACTTGGGGGCACTCACAAATAAAGCGTTATTTGCCTAGAGTTTCTGCCATTCTGTCTAAAGCTTTTCTTTTTCTTTTTTTTTTCCTTTGGCTTTCCTTTTCAGATGCAACTTCTCCCCTTACATCAGTCAGGCTTGTAGCAGAAGAAACCGCAAAGTAACCCTCTGAATTTACTCCTTTCTCTTGGCTTCCTCAATCTTAACGTCTTCCGTAAACTCCGCCCCTCTCCCCAGCATCTTCCCGTTTCTCCAAGCCCCAACCGTCGACACTCCTAAAAGAGTAGACCAGGCAAGTGGATCTCAACCCGAGGTCGGGGCTGACCGAGACAGTCACCCGTGCTTCAACTTGTCCTCGGTTTCCGAGCAGAAGGGCGGTGGAGCGCGGCCTGGGCCGGCCTCTGACCCAAGCGAGCCCCGCCGCCCAGTCTGGGACCTGGGGCGAATTCCTCTACCTCTCCCAGTTTTCATCTCCTCCCCGCCAGCCTCCCTGGGTTGTTTTGAGGCCCAAGTGAGATCATTCATAGAAAAGCATTTTGTAAGTCATAAGGTGCTAAAGGCAACACACGCGACAGTGGCAGCGCCACGACTACAGCCAAATGATTGACGGCGCGCCCCTCACGGCCCCCACCCTCCCATCGTCTGGTTTCTTCTGCACCGCAGCCGCACTCCTGCACGCTGACTGCACACGCTGTCCCGGATTCCGCGTCTGGGGCCACAGGTTTCCCCCGGGAGCACCGACCGGATGCAGAGGAGAGCACTGATTGGCTGCGGAGGAGGTGGGCCGAGCGGTGACGCGCGGCGCCGGGAGACTGCGCCGCGGGGTGCGCGGGGGGGACGGGGCGGGGCGGGAAGGGCGCGGAGGCGCAGAGGGGCGGGGTGGGACCAGGGGGGCAGGGAGGGAGGGAGAGGAGGGGGAGGGGCGGAGGGAGGCGGAGCCGGAGAGGAAAGGGGCGGGGGCGGGGGGGGGGACAGGCTAGGGTGGGACGGGGGGCTGGGACGGGGGCCTGGGTTGCGGAGGGAGGTGGGGGGGGCGAGGGCGAGAGCGGTTTTTGTGCCGCCGGGCGGAGCCCTGGTCTCAAGCCCCATGGCCGCGTCCCCCTTCCCGCGGAAGACAGTGGCCCTGGAGAATCATTGCTGGTCCATCAGGGGAAGGGACGGGGCCGGCGGCGCGGGAGGGGTCGGTCCAGGGCCGCCCAGGGCCCGCGACGGGCGTACCCGCGCCCGCTGAGCCTTGGCTCTCGCACTGTCGCCACGCCCAGGAGGTTTCCGGTCACAGCACGTTTCTGGGCATTTCAGTGCTTCCCAGGCTGTTCTCCAGCCGCCGCCCTTCCCTCCCTCGGCTGCTGGACCCCGCGCCCGAGGTGGGGAGGGACGTCGGGGTCGTGTCCCTTGGTGCTTGCTGGCCGGGCGGAGGCGTGGGGGGCACTCAGCGACCCCTAGCGGGATCTACTGTGTGCCTGGTGCGGTGCGGGTGAGTGGGATGGGGACTGGATTACAGGCAACCAGGAGGACCCCGAGAGAGGGGCAGCTATAAGGGGTCATTGAAGGGGGTCTGATCACGAGATGTGTAAGCTCCAGGGCGGAGGAGGCGTGGGCCTTGGGGGCGATCTGGCTGGTGGAGAGGTGGGTGCCCCAGGCCGAGGGAGAGATGTGATGGAGGCAGGAACATGGCTTGCTGGGGTCAAGGACTGGAGGAGTGGGAGGGAAGCCGGAGGTTCCAGGTCAGTCCAGTGCCCTGCAGAGCCTGCCTGGTGTAGGGAGACGCCCCCACACTCGGCAGTGTGACCTGGCAAAGGTAGCCTTTGTGAGCCATGGTGTCCTCGTGAGTAGGTGGGACAATAGCTTGCTGTTGGGAGGATTTGTAAGACATGCACATGAAATTGTTGTGCCTTTCCCAGCATCGCATAGCTTAATAAACTTAGCCCTTTCCCTTCTGGAAGGAGAAGGAAGGCAGCTTGTGAGGCTTCTGTGGACCCTGGGAACACAGCTAAGAGCCAGAGTCCAACAGAATCGCTAAGAGTCCTCCAGAATAGGTGCCTGGCCTAGCTGGCCATCTGTTTCTGGGATGCACATCCCCTTACAGACTGGGTCTGCATTAAGGTCAGGGTCTCAACTTGTTTCTTCTTTTTAAGAATTCTTACACATCACAACAGGGGGAACTTACTGAACCGACCGCATCAGCGTGGACACACACACAAAGACACACATTTGATGACATTCCCTCTCTCGAAGGTACACGCAACCACCCAGGTTATCGTCAGCCAGAATGCCTTGATTTGCAGCTCTGTGTTGGGTTTGGGGTTCTAGCTTTAATGGGAGAGCTCTAACAGGGTCTGCGAGGTGGGACCCTGGTACTGCGGCCGCAGAGCCCTGGGCAAGACCTCAGGCACCAGCGAGGCCGCGCTGTTGGTGATAGAGCACAGAGTGGAGGAGATACGTGCCCGAAGTCACACAACTTGTGGGTTGGGCTATGTGGGATTTTGACCCTGATGAGTCACTGGAGTGTTGAGAATGCCCTGGTAAATCATTTTCATGACTCAGTATCACCACCTATAAATTAGGAGCAAGGATACTGGCCATATAGCTTCCCTTAGGGTAGGAACAGTCTTAAATGGCTCCTCCCACCTTCAGATGGTTGGTGGATGGGACTGTCATTTTTGAGGGATGGTGTGGGTGCAGCCTTCCAGTGAGTTCAAGGCCCTGGCGTGGCTGAGGCAACACGGAGGAGCCAGGAGAAGCCTGGTGGGGACGGTGGTACAACCCTCCCCCCCTCAAAGGGAGGGGAGGAGGAAGGCTAGAGGTGTAGCAGATTTGGTGGAGAGAGACATCATGACACTGGGGTTCCCAGGGGCAGAGCATGGCTGTGTGAATGCCTGGATGCTGGCCAGGACAGGGGAAGCTTCCCTTTGTAACAAATGTGGACTCTGATTTAGGAAGTAGTTTGATCGATGGCAGAGTCAGGGCTGAGCCACGTTAAATGCAAACAGGTGCGCACCTTCTTCCTGCCTGAGGACAGCAGTTCCCTGAACCCTCCGGAACCTGGCCCCTGCCTCGTTTCCTTCTCCAGGTGGGCCCTGCTCTGACAAAAGGCTCATTCTTGGAGCTCTTCCTTAGGGCTTTACAGAATGCCATGCCGAGCGGGCTTTGCTGATGTCAGCTTTTAAATGTCACTGAAACATCCCAGTGAGCCCTAGCGACAGCATTGGCTGGTGAGACCCCTCTTCATTCTGGCCTGGCTGTTGTCTTCCTGCCCCTTTGTCCTCTCAGCATTATGCTGCCCCTCTCCTCAGCAAGCTCATTTATATATTTTTTTACCTATAATTAAACACCCTCATATACACACCCAGAATATTCTCTCCCATCTCGGTCAGTCCTTCCCATCCTCAAGGGCTAGGGCCAGCTCCACCATCTTCTGTCCTTCCCTGACGGCTCCAGCCTGGCTCTGGGAACTGATATTCAGAGGCCCTTCACACACTTATATGCGGTTGTGAGGTGCCTGCCATTGTTTTGTGTATATGAATTTTAATTTTTCATCTGGAGTGTAGGTTTCCTGGTGGCAGAGAGGCTCCCAGATATGTCTTCATATTCCTGCGGCACCGAAAGTGATGCTGAATGTGTTTCAGGCTCTCACTAAATACTTCCTGGTATAACTGGTAGGTTGTATTCATTTCCTTCTCCCCGTCCTGGGGCTCTGGGCCATGTGCAGCTAGGAAGCTGAGGCAGGTTCTTGGTAAGATGGAGGAAAGGGGTACACGAACACGCCAGGGCCTTGCTAGGAAAAGCACTCAGCTTTGGCAGCGTTTTCATTATCTTTCCAGTGTAACAACCTCCTACCCTCAAGACTTAGTGACTTAAAACCAACCGTTTGTTTGCTCATGAACCTGCCAGCCAGGCTGGGCTCAGTCAGGCGCTTTTGCTGCCCATTCTTGCCTGGGGTTGCTTGGCTGGCTGCAGTTGGAGGGGAGCCCATCGGCTTGGGACCAAGATGGCCTCCCTCACGAGGCTGCAGTCAGTGCTGGCCCTCAGCTGGCGCGCCTCAGTTCTCCATGGAGCCCCTCATCCTTTCCGTGGCCAGGCCAATTCTTAACCGCATGGCTGCTTGGTTCTGAGAGGCCTTTCTTGCCAAGGCCTTGGAGTCACTCGGTGTCACTTCTGCATTCTATTGACTAAAAAAATCACAGGGCCAGCCAGGGCTCTGGGAGGGACGTGGACCCCATCTCTTGATAGGAGGAGTGGCGAGAGTTACACTGCAAAAAGGCATGCGGGGTGGGAGGGATGGTTGTGGCTGTTTTTAAAACCATACTACCTCATCAAGAGGGGCAGGTCTTTTAGAAATGTCCTGTGCCACAGCCCGGGAGGGCCTATTTCCCCGGACATGACACCCCCCTGCACCCCCGCCCTCTTAGCTCACCAGACCCGCATCCCCTCCAGTGCCGCCTGAGCCGGAGCCTCGTGATTCTGGCTGGATCGTGTGGGGAGAGGGAGGCTCCACAGGGGATGAGGAAAGGCAGAGAGCTGAGAGAGGGGCTGCCGATGCCCACCTGGAGCGGTCTGGTGCCCACGTGTTCCAGAGGAAAAGTGAGCAACTGGTGGGTGCTGTCCTGTGGTGTCTGTGTCAGACTAGGACCACTTTCTTTCAGACAGTCGAGTTTACCTTCCGGCTTTCCACCCACAAGGGGCACAGGTTCAACAAGTGTCTTCGTGGATGTTAAGAATTTCCCTCTAATAGAAAATCCTAATAGAAAACCCAGAAGAGCTGTGTGTTTAAATGGTTGCTCGAGGCTTTTCAGGATGGAAAAAACCCATTGTCTCTCATCTCATCTGATGCTTACTGAGCATCAGAAAGTGAAGTTGTTAGGTGCAGCTGTGTGCTTCCAAGCCCCCTCGGTGGTGGAGAGGGCCCTTCTGAGCAGGCGCGACCCCTCGTTGTCACTGCAGGGCCCCCGCATCATTGGTCCTTCCCTGTGTCTGCAGCCTTCTGGGCCTGGGCCCGTCTGGCCTTAGCCCTCAGGTGGGAAGAGGCCAGATCCTTCTAGGGGCCCAGACGCAGCTCAGCTACCTCTGGAGTAAGATCTGGAGCAGCCCAGGAAGCTGTGATACCGCCAAGGGCCGGGGCGCCTGGGTGATTCAGTCGGTGAAGCGTCTGCCTTCAGCTCAGGTCATGATCCCGGGGTCCTGGGATCGAGCCCCACGTCGGGCTCCCTGCTCAGCAGGGGTCTGCTTCTCCCTCTCCCTCTGCCCCAATCCCCACTCATGCTCGATCTCTCTCGAATAAATACTGCCGAGTGCCAAGAAGTGTGCTCTCCCTGGCTCAAGAAGCAAAGGAAATAATGCCATCAGTCTCAGCGACTGAGTGGACCGTGAGAAGTTTAGAAGGTTCACCAGTTGGAAACACCTGTGCCGACGTTGACCGCCTGCAGCGCGCAGGGCCCTGGGCTGAGTGGCGCCTGGGGCAGGCCACCCAAGGGGGAAAGGGCCTGGCCGTGTTCCTGTTCCACGGCGGGCCGTACAGGCCGTGTACACATGGCCCTTCCGCTCTTGCTTCTGCTATGTTGCATGCTACACACGGGCCACCACACGGAGAGTACTATGGCTTTCACATTTAGTATCCAGGCCAGCGCTGGGCGCTGAAGGCAAACGAGAAAGCTGGGCCTAGAAACGAATACACGGGGGCACTGTTGAGTATGTGACATCCAGGGGTCGCTTCTGTTGTTGCTCTAGAGTTTGTGATGAGCGGCGCCTTCCCCCACCTCTGCCGAGAGGAACCACTGCTCCCAGGGCAAGTGGCCGGAGCGAGAGAGGACAAAAGGGGCCTATAATATTCTATTATTATTTTTTTTAGATTTTATTTGAGAGAGAGAGTGTGCGCACCAGCGTGAGTGGTGGGGAGAGGCAGGGAGAGAGGGATAAGCAGACTCCCCACTGAGCCTGATGTGGGGCTCGATCCCAGGACCCTGGGATCATGACCTGAGCTGAAGGCTTAACCGACTGAGCCACCCAGGCGCCCCAATATTCTGTTATTATAAGGAAGTGCTCAAAGATCGATGGGGACATTTCAAAAGACACAAGAGCCAGCTGAATGGGGCTCCCACCCCCAGGCCACCTCCCCACGCCAGAAGGAACTGTCTTACAGAGGAGTGAATGAACAATTTAGAGCTGAAGAACTTGGTTTCTTTCTTTCTTTTTTTTTTTTTTAAGATTATTTATTTATTTGACAAAGAGAGACAGTGAGAGGGAACACAAGCAGGGGGAGTGGGAGAGGGAGAAGCAGGCTTCCCGCTGAGCAGGGAGCCCGATGTGGGGCTCGATCCCAGGACCCTGGGATCATGACCTGAGCCGAAGGCAGACACTTAACGACTGAGCCACCCACGCGCCCCTGGAGAACTTGGTTTCTAGACCTGGATTTGAATCCTGCCTCTAACTAGTTAGGTGACCTTGGATATATTAATTCATCTTAAAAAGAAAAAAAAA